TTTTTTACGTAAAAATTAAAAAGAAAAAGTATTGCCGCTTTCGTCCAATTAGTCTGGCCAAGCGATTTTTAAAATATATTTTTAAAAATTATAATGTTATATATAACTTGTAGATCACGATCTAGCCCGGAAAGGAAGGCGAAATTCGTGTACTACGTATCCTCATCTCGTCTCGTTTCGTGTCCGTTTCCTGTGGTGAGAGATCATGGAAGGATGTTTTGTTTGAAATGTCAGAATTGATTTAGATATCTAGCTCATCAACAAAATTATATTACGATTCTTTTCCGAGTTGCTGAAACCTCAATTGCAGTTAAACGCTCTGAAACATCGTCACGATCAGCCCGTCTCCGGGGAAATTGTGCTTAGATAACAGTATTATGAGTATTGTAGTCTGGCAAACATCCATAGACTTGAGTTTCTCTAGCCTAAATCTCTAGTCTAGTTTCTGATTCTCTCTACCGTCGTGTTCTATTAGATCTAGATATTAGAAGCCTAGTATTCAGTGGCTCCATAATCTCTATAGATCTCTCATCTAGATCTAGACTTGGACGACCTACAGCTGAACTGGAGTTTTAGATTTACGAGTGGGTTGTAGGCCTAGTTTATCAATAGAGTCTAGTTGAAATGCGTCTGTCTGGTGAAGTTATAGAGGAATTGAAACAGGTTAGAAAGGTTTTCTAAACAAACACGAGCGTTTGTTTGTTGTTGTTGTTTTTTGTGTTAATTTCCTTGTACGCAAAATGTATAGACACCCCTATCCTTTCGTAATCATAATCTAGATTAGTCAATGTTTTAGTCTTGGCAAAGGCAGGCTTTATTTTTTTATTTTTTTAGTTCAGTGAAATGTAGGCTAATACAATTCATGCTGTACGTTGGGGACTATGTTCTTGGTCTAGTTTATCTCGGGTGTGAATGCGGAGAATTTTTATCGAGTATCTCAGTCTTTCGGATGGGATTTTGTATCCTTCTCATCCTGGGTTGGCCCATGAAAGAAGGTTTAAAGCCTGACTCCTAGGTTATGCAAATTGTCACATTGTGTTGATTGGGACGTAAAACACTAGACCTACATTTATACTTTAAACTTAAACCCTGATCTTCATGTTTGTGAATGCAATATTAAGTAAGGTTGTGTTGTTGCCTGTATTTTAGACCCTCCAGGGCCAACACTACCACCCTGAAGAATTTACTGTAAAGGTATCTTTTCTGTTACTGGTTTTGTTACAAGTTGTTTTTTTAAAGTTCTTTTTAAAAAATCACTTTTAAACTGTTGACCTCTTTGAACTTCTAATTCTAACCAGGTACTTGATCTTTTCTTTCATTTGTTCTCCTCAAGTTGAAATTTCTTTTGATTAATAATAGTTCAAAAACTGTTTATGGCATCAGTTTTTTATCTGTTTTATCTCTGTAGTTTATTAACACTCCCTGGAACACTTTGCGTTGACAACTTGTAGTGGTTTAGTTCAAACAAATGTTTGACTCGCAGGGACCATTTTAAAGAATGGTCTAAAAGAAACGTGTAGCTGGTGCTTGATTTATTTCTAATTTGTCGTAAAAAGTCATAACCTAAAAAACATTATGTGCATAGCTCACCTGACACTTGCACGGACTTCAAATATTGGATAGCACTAAGAAGACAATTTTGTTTTGTTGTTTCCCACTGTACCTTTTAAGTTGAACCTTATGAATAGCAAATGTGGGGTTTTTATTGTTGTTTATGTTGTTTGTTTGTTGTTTGTTTTGTTTGGGTTTTTTTTGGGGGGGATGGCATAATCTGTCATGAGTCCCCATATTTTGTACATATTGCATCTTCATAAAAATGTTATGAGTATGTTTAGTTTAATTTATATTTATTGTCATAGTTCACACAAGCAAAATTTTTCATATCTTTTGTTTCTTCTCATTTCAGCCGTTGAAACGGCAGAGGAGCAACCGATCGACTCGCAGCACCACCTCCTCAGCCCGGCGACGACAGAATGAAGACGGCTGTGTCGTATGTCTTCGTGGCACCTTGCACTGCTACAATGTCTTCATCTTGGTGAGTCCTCTGTCAGTTTACCTAATGTGGTGCCTTAAGACAATACCACTTCAGCTTCCATTTAGGCTGAAAGTATTTCTCATTTTATGTTTGGAGATGAACTGTAAGGTTGTAGTAGTGATGCTGACTTTGGCTCATGGTTCTTATCCTCAAGCTGCCATATATTTTGTGGAGATAAGATTTTTGTATTTGTCAAGTCATTCTTAAAAGTAATATTAACTTTCTAGCAATATATTATACAGTTCAATGTATTATCTTCTTCTGTAGAGCTATGAGTTTTCTCCTGCTCTATTTCTGTTTTGTTGTAACCTTTTTCATGAAGAAAATTCACAGCAAGAACCTCTGCTAACAGTGTGGAGTGATGATATTGGTAATGATCAGTCTCTTGAATCTCGTAGCTGTTTATCTGTTTCACCCTGAGGGAATAGTGATTATGATTACATTGTATGTCCATCTCTGCTTCTGTGGTATTTAGGTGGGATGTTTTTACTGAACTTCCACCCCACTCTGTTGATGAAGAAAACATGTTTTCCTCCTATCAATTAGCGGGAAAGGTTGCTGTAACTACAATGAAATCTTCTTCTGCTCTCTCTTGTGATGCTTTTTGCGAAGTCTTTATTTCAGAATTTATCACGATGACCTTCTGCTCTTCAATCGCACTTTCAGCTTCTATATGACTCTCTTGAATTTGGACTGAAATATGTGCAGACCTGTGTGTGTCGCAGAGGAATATAATTTTGAATTTTTTCCAATGCCAGATTGTCGGATGTGCGTCACTGGGGATTGGGATATGGTTGCTGGTCACCGACTTCGGGGCCCGCAAGGTGACGCCCATTGTGGACAACCAGATGTATGAAGTGACCACCTATCTGCTGATTGCTGGTGGTGGGGCCGTTGCTCTGCTTGCCTTCTGTGGTTGTTGTGGTACCATACGAGAAGACAAGTGTGTGCTATCTTTTGTGAGTATCCCCACAGCTTGTGTCTTTGTGTTTTCTTACATGCATTTTGATACTGTATCATGGTTTGATTTACTGCAGTTCTGTGCTCAAAATGATTAATTAAAAGAATGACCAGGTTGTTTGTGCACAGCTCAGAGAGGGGAAGGGGGATGAATGTGGTTGCGGCTTTCTTTTCAGAAAGGAATGGAGAAATGCTGTCCACTCAAAGGTGTGACCTTCGCTAAATCCATCAAGAAGTTCTTCTCTCATCGTTTTTACTTTTTTCATTTATTTGCTGTCCAGTATTGATCTGTTGTCAAGAGTGGTTAAAGAGAAACTGAATTATTTAAACCATGCACCACTGTATAGGGGAATTATTTCTCACAGTAAACACTTCAAAGGCTTTGGAATTATAGAAATGGTTTAAGCTTCTATGTCATGATTGATTCGCCTACAGTGGTGGGGGAAACTGGGGGAGAGGGAACATTCTGGTTTTGAACCAGCTGGATTTTGTTTTCTTTTGTGCTTATGAATTTCTAAAACATGGACAGAATGCCTGTGATTATCTGCATCCTCTAAAAAGCATGGCCATATTCTTCTTTTGATAAACATGTGCTATTGTTAGAAGGGAGTGAGTTCTGTACATTTCAGTTTCTATCTTTAAAACATCAGTAATGGTTGAGATCTAAAGTTTCTTTTGCTCCATAATGTGGGCATCTGTGCCAGCTAATTATGTAAAGTTTTATGTAAATGTCAGTGCTTTCAGACGTTATTAAAACTTCATTAAAAAAATTAGAACTCCATCAATAGAATAGATTTGGAAATTTTAGTTGAACTCTTTGTCAGTTGCTCTTGCTGGAGATGAACAAAGGGTCTTATTGTACTGGAATTTTCTCACTGACTATGATAGAGATTTTATGAGATTACACTTTTAAGCTTGGCCCTTTTGTATTCGAGAAGATACAGTTTTTTTCCTTTAATATCGGAGTTCAATATGTACACAACATTTTTTTTAAACTGTTATTTGTCTTGCTGTCTGATTTTTATGTTCGTCTGTTAAGTCCTACGGAGAAAAGACTGACAGGCTCTTCTACTCAAAACAACATTTTGTGATACCATTGTTTTACTTAAGTTCTGTAGTCGTCTTTCCATGGACTGAGTTTTTCATACTTCTGTTCTCAAATAGGTTAGGATTCCAGATCCATGCATTTTATATCTTCACATTTCAACGACTATTAAGACTATACTATGTGTGATGTGTTTGATGCTAACTTGTCTTGAGCGATGCCAGTGTGACCCATGAGCTCCCAACTCTCTCTTTTCCCTGTCATGTGTGTTTGTCCACCTCAGTTGTACTAATTTCTCAGTTGTTATCTGTTTCAGTATGGAACTACGTTAGCCATAGTGCTCATTGTGCTTGGAGCAGCGTGTGGGATAGCTTTTTTCTTCAGAAATGCAGTAAGTAAATGTTGAGGGTTGTGTTTGTGAATGGTTTTGTAACTCTGTTATCTCAGACTAAAGATAGGGCCCTTACTGGAGCAAGCATTAAGCAGAAAATTGCACAAATGCAGTTAAGGTGTAACCAACAACAGAAAAATGTATACTAAAACCTCTGAAATATACAAGTAAAAAGAAACTTGTGAGTGTGTGTGTGTTTTCATATTTTGGGGACTATTCTTGTAGTAAAAGAGTACGATTACTACTGTAAATTGGAAAGAAGGGGGATGTGCTTCCGTATATTCATGAATGCAGATTTCCATTTAGTTCACTGCAAGGAGAAAAGACTGTGACATGATACTGATGTCATTGACCTTTGTTTTCGTTCTCCAGTTGGCAGCTAAAATACAAGACCGGATGCGAGATACGCTGACCTGGCACTATGGTCTGAATGTTCACAGCAACTCTGAGAACCGTAGGATCACAGACGCGTGGGACGCCATGCAGAGGCAGGTCAGTTCAGCAATGATTAGGAACTACATGTCATTCCCTGAATAAGAAAAGTGTCTTCGCTGATGCACACTAATTATTATACAGTTTGGTCCATTTTAATTGAAATCTGTGGGGCAATCAGATGTTCTTCAGGATAACATGATTTCAGGTTTAGTGAGGTTGCTCAAATAGAAAGAAAAAAAATCGGGGATTTTGTTCTCTTTCAGTTTACTACTGTTTTCGATCACTGTGTTCAATGGAGCAAACTCAACTGCATATGTTGCCAAAGGTAGTATAAATGATTATGAATGCTTTTCAAAAAGCATAGATCAATGGCTGTCAGAAAGTTAAGTACATGTTATAGTATAAAAGTGGGCGATATTTTTATGGAAATCAATTTTACTGTGGGTTAAATAACCTTCTGTAAATTGATAGTGTTTGAGCACCAGAGAGACTTCCTTGCTGTAAATCCCTCATGGAACAGTGATGGTAAATTGTAGGTTATTGTAGCTCTGTAGCAGAGAGGATTAAAGAGTATGAACTGTCACTTTGAATTTTGTTTCTTGCTGTGTAGAATGTGTGAAGTTTGAGAAGAGGAGCGAGTTTGTTTTGTTGTACTGAGTTGTCTCCCTGTGTTCTCAGCTCAAGTGCTGCGGTGTGGTGGGTGACGTCAACACCTTAGAGTCCTGGGGCTATTACTTCACCAAAACTGAGTGGTACGACAAGTCCAAGAAGAGTAAGTAGATAGAGATGACACTGTTAGTAGATAGAGATGACACTGTTTATCTGAGCTCAATATAATGTCCAAGTGCGTATAGTTGTGCTGTGACAATAACATGCTTTATTGGTCTCTCAAAAACTTCATCCTCATCAGTTTCAAGACTTGAACATTCCTTCTTAGTACAAAGACAGGCTCACCCATACCATTTTTAACCTTGTGCCCCTGCTCTTTGCTGTCCTTTCTCCCCCCCACCCCCTCACCTTCCTCCCACCACCACAAATCTCTTTATTTTTCTTTTCCAATCTCTCCCACCCACTTGCCTGTCACCCCAAAAGGCCAAAACTCTTAAATTTACAACATTAAAATGTAACCCTTTCAACAGACCGGCCAAAATTGTAGGTGTTCATTTTTTAAATCTTTTTTTTTTAGTCTCTCCAACTGTCAAAGGCACTGAACTGATCCGCTCCTTTTGTGTCAGATAGATGTCTAGTGTTATGTGACTAGTTCCTACTGCTACTACGATTTTGTTCTGTATGTGCTCGTGCCATAGTACAGCTGATTTGTCTGTCCTTTTATATTCAGAAGCTGATTGGTCAATTTTGTTTGCTGCATGTGTGACTGAGCCCCCAGTGTGCATGTTTGTGTTTGCGTGTTTATGTGTGTATGTTTGTAATTGTGAGTGTGTCCATGTCGGAGTGTGTTACTGATCTCCTTTTTGTCTGTGGTACTGACCGCCTTTTGTGTTTGTGTGTGTGTTTCAGAGAAAGAGAGGCAGCGTGTGCCTGAAAGCTGCTGTGCCCCAGGTGATATCAACATGTGCATCGGTCTGAGTGACTTTGCCGGCCCACCAAGATTCCTCCAAGGTCACAGCGAGGACATGAAAAAGAAGAATCCATACCTGTACACAGATGTAAGTCATGCACATATGTACACTCAGATGACACTCATACATGCTCATACTGTTGTCTTCATTGTCCTTACCTGATTGGAGGATATCTGTTTATGGGGTAGGGGAGTAATTGTACAGTTGATCAGATACTTTGAGGTTGTGTTTATTGTTTGTTTGTTCACTAGTTATGATGGTGGAAGAGATGTAGATGTGACTCTATCTCTAACTGCTTGAATAACGGGAGCTGATCATCCTAGCTTATGTCATGTCTTCTGTAGGCTCTAGGCATCAGTTGTCTAGGTTAGTCTATATCTATGGGAGGAAGTGCTGATAGATTTGTGTGCATGGGGAGGTTTCATGTCTTTGTTATTGTTTTGCTGAACTCAGCAACGAATAAGAAGATTGGTTGGCATAGCTCCGCAACTCGGTATTGAAAATTACGAAGTTTCTTAAAGGTCTTCACTGTATTACAGAAGCTATTCTGTTCTCAAGATTTCTTTGGCTCAGAGAAAATGTGCCTGCTCACTTCATGCCCTTTGTAGAGAGCTGTTGGTGTAGCCTTTTGTACTGGGAGGATGTTTAGTTAATTGCCTCTCAGAAACTGAGTATTTGAACATTTCTGTATGTGTCGTTGACCTTTCTGTTGCAGTGAAATGATTCAGTCAATGATGGGAGTGGATAATGGTCCACTTGTGAAAATATTTTTGCCATGAGATGTGGAAGTTGTTCTGATATTAGCCTGGTTATTGTGGATTTCTTTGGAGTGGTTGTTTGAGTTTATGTCATTGTGCTGAAATCTTCTTCTGAGTGGAGGAGTCATGTTTGTGCAACAGATTTGTTCATCATGTAAGAATTATTACGATACTATGACAACAGTATCTCTGGCATGAGTGACTAGTTACTTTTTAGCTTACTTTTAGTCCTGGGTTCTAGCACCACTCCTTTTCGTGAATAATTTTTTTAATGATTCTGTTCCATCTCTTGAAGGAAGTGCCAGTACTATGATAATGTTTATATATAATATATTATGTTTTCATGTTATTTAATTGGGAAAGTGCTCAATGCATTGGGGTAGTGCTCAGTGCACTTTACAAAAAAACCATTACTTTAGCATACTGTATGAAAATGTTTCTTCATGGTGTTCGAGTCCATTGTGTTGCCACCCCACAATAATCCTCATTTGTTTCTCTCTCCTTCTTTGTCCTCAGGGCTGTTATGAGTCTTTGATAGAATACTTGAGGACCTACTCTGCTGTGGTGGGGGCGGTCGCAGCCGTTGTGCCTGTGTTTCTTGTGAGTATCCAGACATCCTCTCATTGGTGAACAATAGTTTAATTCCTTGCTGATGTTAATTTAAGATCAGGGTAATACTACCATGTTCCTTTCACTCATGGCGGTAGTAGCCATTTGAGATGTGATGTGTAAGATATAAATGGAGAGTACTGTTTAATCTGAGATTTCTATTAATTGTGTTACTTACTGTGTGAGTAGTTAATTACCACCACCAGCCTGATTCAAATGAAACTGGAATAAGTACTTTTATGTAAGATTGAAATTCTGTCACGTTCTCTCTCTATTTCCTGGTGCTGTAATGTCCGCTTATGCCCATATAGCTTTGTGTGGTGTCCAATGTCCAGTCCACTGACCTGTTCCTTTCTGTGTCCCCAGGCATTTGGCATCGTCATCTCGTTCTGCCTGTGTGCGCGGGTGACGGGCTACGCCCACGATGATGAAGTGGACTTATAGCACGGACTCTCCTGTTCCTGCCACTGCTGTGTCTCTGTCGACTGGGCCCCAGGGGGCACTGTCAGCACAAGGGTCTGGTCCGATGCATCGCTACGCCGTACATAGCTGGGGGAATGTGTGGTTTAGAGCTTTGAACCTGTGTGTGTGTGTGTTTAAATGAAGAAGGAGTAGAAGAGCATGAGATACATGTTTATAAATGTGTACTGGTATCTGCATGTATGTTTTTGTTTGTGTGTATGACGGTGCCCCGTATTAGTGCCACCCAGTGATCGGACAGCTGCGTGCATTGTGGGATAGTGGAGTTGCCACAGACCCAGAGAGGCAGTATTTGCTTGAGATGGAAAGTTTTTGTAATCGTTTGGGGGAAGTTATTGTTTTGGTCTTTCTCTGAACCGTTCAGGCTGGAACGCACTGGTGATATAGGCAGCGGCTTGTCCCTCTCATGTCATGGAATGCAATATGAGAAACTTTTTGTCTGAGTTGGAAGTTGACCTCACTACTGAGGGTGTCGAGTTAAGTGTGTGTGTGTATGTGTGTGGGGTTCAAACGTATGCAGGTTTTAGAAGTTTGTCTTAAGGTTTTTGGTGCCCCTGTGGGAGGAGGCGAGTTGATTAACCGCTGTGACAGGACTCCGGCGAGCGCCTTGACAAGGAGGCTACTGCGTATGTCCATGCCTTTTGAAGTGACCAGCAAGCCAGTGTAGCACAGGGCAAGATGGAAAGAGAGGCAGACCAGTGACAGGCAGGCAGGAATCCGTGGCACTTTCGCAAGTCAACAAAACCACGTCAGAGTGGATGTTTTCTTTTCTTTTTTTCCCCCCTGTCCAAATGACAGTGTTCTGGAGCAGCACAAACTGCCTGATAGTGCAGCTGCCATTGAGAGCTCTTCCGTACTGGGATCAGCTGGGGCAGCCTTGTGGCCAGTACAGAAGAGAAAGAAAGAGAGAGAATCATGTCACTTCTCTTTATTAGAGATACAGCTACTGAGAGAAAAATAAAAAGTCATTATGAAACTTTAAAAGAAATCTATTGTGAAGATCTAAAAAAAGTATCAGAAAGTGGTCTTTGTGAAGATGAATACTTTTCTCTTTTTTATTCGTTAGGCTTGGATCCAAGGTCAGTCAAGAGAATGTGAATATTTGTATTAAAAAATCCGATGGAGTCCACTAATACCATGCTCAGTTAATCCTAAAACAGCAGATGTCCGAATGAAATAGAATCGATTATTTTTATTTCTTAGCCTTTTCAGCAATCTTTTGAAATTGGAAACATGACTAAACTAAAGAAGATCTGGCAGTCCCACCAATTTTGGTTTAAGTGGACTCTGCTGTAATATTATATCTCCTTGATTCTCCATACCCCTCCCTTCTGGCGTAGAGAAATGTTCTTACTGAATGAAAACCACACTGCCTGTACAATAGGCTACCCCAGTGACCTTTAGATTTCGAGCAGACAAATTTGTAGCAGGGACAGTCAGATGTTTTCACATTACTATTTGTGTAACCTTTGGTTGTCTCGCCTCAGGTTGCCTTTATGAGACAGGAACTATCTTGTCATTGTGGGGTAATGAAGCTCTCAGCCATGCCGCATATGTTTGGTTCCCTGAGAGTGGGGAGATTTGGAGGCTAATGTGTTCTTGACTGAGCCTTGAGAAACCCACCTCAGACTTTAGTTTCTTTCTTTTCAAACTGAAGCGTGATGCGAAGTGTTTGCCATATTGGAAAACTAAGTAAGTTTCTATTATACTACATTCCAAGTTCTAGCAATGTTTACCTTCCTCTGTTACCATTCATAAAATGTACACATTTCCTTTGTGCTATGTACGTGTTGTGTCTGTGTGGGAGATAAATGTGTGTGGGATAAGGAATGTTATATTATGTTTGTAGTTAAAAGAATCATGATATGGATTCCAAGTCTCACCTTGTCGCTGCCTGAGGTGTATAGGCTTACTGTGTTGATTGTTCTCTTTTGAAGTGATGTTCTTCACAACACTGCTTACAAGCTGTGAGACGTACGTAAACTGGCAGTATTTGCCTATGTCTTTTCCATTTTCACATTCTACATGCTGGGGAGAGTTGCGCAAGTCATTTTGTCTACATTTCTGCCTGACACGTTGTGATGGTCTCTCTCTTTCTCATGGGTCAACTTGTGCGCGTTGTCACAGACGTCTTTGCTAAACTATGTTACTTGTTTTTCCCTGCTGGTCTCCGGTCCCTACCTACTCGTATTTTCCACATCTTGTTTCTAAAGTTTCATGTCTCACTCTATGTGTCTCTTTGAAGAAACTTCCTCAGTGTTGGGCACTTTTGCTTCAGGTAGACTTAGCGAGGTTTGCACCGGTCCATCTCCTTCCACCCTGTCCTTTTTGTTTTGTCTTTTGAATATGAACACACTGAACTGAGAGCATGAGGATGGTAAAAGTTAAGACTCATATATGGGTTTAGGGTGGGGGACATGGACAAGGTTGGGCAGCTAGTCTAGTTTCTAAGACTAGCATGGACCATTGGATCAGAGATACTCGTCTCCTGTCTCCTTTCTCCTTGTATAACCCCAGAAGCTGTCGGCAGCGTGCACTTGTCATTGGCTTGAGGCCGTGAGCTTTTCACATTTTGCTTGACATTTTTGCATCACATAACATGTAATTTTCTGTTTATTTTGCGGTTTCCTTTTTCATCTGTTTATGTACATATGGGAAAAGTGCTGAATTTTGATATAGTGCTTCGACTTCAAAACTTTTCGAGTCAAGAGTCAAAAGGTTCCATCTAATGTGAATATATATAACATTGTGTGATGTCCTGCTACAATGCATGCTATGTCCTTCCTATAAAGGGCAAGTCCTGCCTGTTGTCATGTTATGTAATGCATGCATATGTAGTCAGCTAATTTGACAGAAAGAGAGAGAGTGAGAAAGAAAGAAAGATTAGGGTAGTTTGGGAAAATAAACATGTTTCTAATCAACTGACCTTACTATTCAAATGGACTGCTCAATATAAGACTTTCATCATATGTCACTTTTCATAATGACATATGGTGGAGTCTTACAGGAAGCAGCCGAACTGTAAATGATTCAGGGGGTACCCTACTATTTACCCAGTGTCCACTCTATCAGTCAACCAAAATCCTGAGTCTGGCATTTCCACTTTCCCTACAGGCGAGAGTTGGTAGGACTTCAGTGCTAATCATGCTGAGAAATCAGAATCTTTTCCCTCCCCCATCAGTTTATGTCATTGTGAGTATCCATATCACAGGGTGTTTAAGTCTTGTGTTTGTGTGTATGTATGTGTGTGTGTGTGGGGGGAGGGGGGGGAGACAGAGAGAGAGAAAGAGAAGGAAGACTGTTGGGGTTGTTTGAGGCAATGCATTGTATTCTGAATGAGACAGCTATTTTTGATTTTTATAAGAAAATAACTATAAACTTAAATTTGAACTTTGCTACATTGTGATTTGTTGACTGTCATATATTTTGTTGCATGCTTATTGGCTTTGAATTATATCAATTTACAGTTCATTTTTGCAGTGGTGCTCATGTGTTTAGCCAAGTATTCTGTTTGTTTCCCTGCAAGTAGGATTGTTGTAAGGTATTTTGCCGTGCTGTTGACTTAGCTAGGGTTTTGGGACAAGAAGTCTGAAGTTCCATGTTGTTATTGGGGTGCCAGCTTTTCATTCTTTACCGGTAGTTCAAGCAGTGGTCTCTGTTAGGTCTGGACATAACATTGAATGTCCCTGGCAGGTTTAGTGAGTTGTTGGTTAAGTGGACTCTGTATGTAGAGGTCTTTCCCACCACAAAGAATTGTCAATTATATCAGCATTAGTTACCTTGTTTTATAATTTATAGGTTGTTTTTTCATGATCAACTGTGGGTTTTGTCAAGTGTATTTTCCATCTAATATTTAAGACACCCATGATGGTAGCTATTTAGGTATTAGTTCTCATATCATCGGCCAGCTCTTCAGATGTACTAAACCCAAACGGAATTTTTTTAAAATGTTTATAGCAGTTTTCTTAATCTGTGATGTCAGTTACGTTTGCTCGGAAATTCTTTGGTGAAATCCAGATTCTAAATTTGGATTAAAGCAAAAAAATATATAATGATAAAAATATAGGTAGGCCTACAATTTTTAAAGGAATGAAATTTTGTTTCTCTCTCCTGAAAAATGTTGCTCTCTGGGCTTAGAACAGTTGGACAGCTTGACGATGATACGTTTTTTTGTTATAATCCAATCTGCCAGATTTGCTATGGCTTGTTGCTTGCACCGTCTCTGTACATATCCTGTACCTTTGACCCCATGCACAAGGTGGGGTTGAGTGACTGATTTATCTTCATGATGCCAGTATCGACTTGTGACGAGGAGGTTCAGGCCTCTGCTTTTTCGAGTGCTTGGTCAGTGGTGATGATGCCAACACGGCCTTGATGTGTTTTTGACTGTGAATAGTAGGGTTTGAAACTGTTGATGACTCCAAAGTTAACTTTATCCATGCCTTGAATGTGGAGGGAGTGGGAAGCATAAATAAAATACAAATTCACAATTTATGGGACCGTTTAGCTCTCTGAAGACCTTAAGGGTTCTATCTGCGATTAGTTTTTGTTGTAGGTGGAAGCTTTTGGTTGGGAGAGCTGATTTAAGTGGTCACAAGCTATTCATGATGAAGCTTGGTAGTTGAAATAAAGATTTCTTCGGCAAACTGTTCAAATGTACCATGCCTTAAATTTTGAAAACGTTTTAAATTGCTGTTTCTTAATCTATGGTGTGGGCTGCATGTGTTTAAGAAATATTTTGTCGAAATTCAAATTCTAAATGTTGGGAAAAAAAGAATTAAAAAGCAAGAAAATGCATCGAAGGTATAAATCTACATTTGTAATATTTTAGAAAAATACATTTTTTTCACTCTCCTGAAATATTTTGCTTTTTGGACTTATTGCATTTGAACAAATTGGTGGCTATTGGCTGCTGTCTTTAAATAGTAACTGTTTTCTCCAGCCACTGTTGGAGTCATCATCAGTTTTGTGTGTTGAGTGCAGCAGCCACAGGTGGCTATCAGCCTTCTTTTCTAGTGTGATATCACTTACTCCAGAATTTGTAGCAACTGAGGTCTTGTGAGTGCGTGTGTGTGTGTGTGTGTGTGTGTGTGTATGTATGCATGTGTTTGAGTGAGAGTAAGTATAAGTAAGAAGGATTATTTTTTTTCTATGGCCCCATCACAAACGTCGTGGGTAAGTTTTATGGAATCTTTATCAACGCACAGCAACAAATAAGAGGTGAAGTTAAGCAGATCGAATCTACATTATTTGACTACTTTTCAGGGAACAAAACTGCAGGCCAAATATCTGTAAAGCCGAGTGTCCATTGCGGATGGGATCGGTTCGGGTCGGGTTGATCGCCCGACTCGTCCCCTGAAAACAAAAGCGTCTGTTTTTGAGGCGACGAGTCGGGCACAATCAGCTTGTGCCATGATAGCCGCTTTGTGCCCTCAATCTGGCTAGCAAACCGCCCCGACCAGACCTGATCCCCCAATGGGCACGCTGTATAACTTTTGCATAGGGTCACACTGTCTGGGTAGACCTTTGTTTATCACATGCTCCAGTCACTTGATTTTGTGGTTTTCGTTTGGCTGGTTTTATATAGAATGGTAGGCCTATATGAAAATTTTTTGGTTCTATTTTGACCTTTACCTCTTTTAAGTATAGTACACTTATGCCTTATTTTTTAAGATCATGCACTCTGAAAAAAAGTGAACGTTTGTTTGCAAGTCAGAAATCATGCTTGCAGCTCACAGTAAACATCTTTTGTAGGACAATATTTTGTTATATGTGGTCTGTTCTGACCTCAGATCTTTCTTGCGGGCTTTAAGTTACCCTGCAGCAGTGTGACACATTCTGCCCCATCGATCACAATCAGAACGATGTTTGATCAACAACTGTACTTAATACTTCGGCTGAATGTTTCCAGGTCTATATATAATAAGCACATATTATGGTAATCATGTCTGTTTCGATGACAGATTTTTTTTCTTTTTTTTTTTTTTTTTTTGCTTGGTGGAAGGGTCTGGCTGTTGTACCAGAAAAAGTAATGTACTTTTTACAGTTATATTATTGGTGGTTTCTTTGTTGTTTTTTAAAGAATCTTTTCAAACTTTTGAAGACAATAATGATTTTGATGTGGAAGTGTGTGATGACAAGAGCTGGCGTGGTGTAGGAGCAAACAGATGTGATGTTAGTGGGTGTGACTATCTCTGTACTGGGCTGTGTACTGTCAAACAAGAACATGGTACTGTATTCCATCATGTCAAGGTCACACATGTAGACTGAGCACAAGGATATATATTATATATCAATTATTGTACATTTTACATGTTGATGATTAATTTTAGTCTTTTTTTTTTCTTTATGAAGCATGTTACTGAGGATGATCATAAAGCATGTATCTATGTCACCAAGATATGATGCCAGGTGTAAGGACATTTTTTTAAAATTCAATATATCCATTGTGTTTATACTCCATTTATATAATATGAATAATCACAGAGAGTCATGATAAGAAGTTCACAAGTAGAATACATGTACACTGACCATTCACATCGCAATCAGATGTTTGTTTGCCAAGTATATTGCTGTGTCAGGCGATGATTCCAGCGTGTGAGCTGACGTGTAGCGGACACCTCTCTCAACTTTCTCACCTGTTTTTGACTTGATTCAGCGATGTCTGCCAGTAAATAAGAAACCATCTATTCCCTATCATATCCCCCCCCCCTCTCCCTCTCACCCCACTCCCCACTGTCCATCATGTAAATATTGTGAACAAGTCAATAAGTGATTTTTTTTCATGGATGGACACAAGGTTGCAAGACTGATGATTAAATATTTTGATATGAACTGACCTTGACTCTGGTTTGTGTTTTCTGTAGTTGCCTTTGGTTGCCTTAGGTGTGGTGTGACTTTAATGCAACGTTTTTATACATTAAGGTTATTTAGAAAGTAGCTCCTCTGAATGTCTGATAGATATCGAGTTTTAAGGGACTCTCGTGTTCCAGGGGTAAGACGTTCACCTCTCATTCAATAGGTCCGGAGTTCGAAACCTAAGAGCGACAGAAAATATTCTTCTCCAAAATTTCCTCTTTTCACCTCTTTTCCTGCTCTCTAATAATGTTCTGTGGTCTGTGTTCCTCTCCAATTTCTGCCCCCCCCCCCTTTCCCTTTTGCCCCCTCCTCTGTGCTCCTGACTCTTTCTTCAGCCTGTCTGCTGCTACTCCATGGCTCCTACTACTCTCTTTCAGCCACGCCCCTGGTCGTAGGGTAGGTAAGATTTAACACCTCGCTTTCTCGGATAAGGGCAAAAAAAATCTCCAAGATTCTTTGTGCAAGTTACGCACGTTAAAGATCCCTTGCTGGTCGTAAAATCAAAAAGAGTGGGCTTCGGCCGCCAACCAGGCAAAATTCAAAATTACATGTAATTTTTGCCGCATTAATGGTATCGGTGGCCTAGGGATTAGGCTCTTGGACTTGCCACCGAAAGGTAGTGAGTTCGAATCCCGTCAGGGGCCCGACGTTGTGTTCTTGTGAAAGACGCTTTACACAAATTTGTCTCAATTCACTCGGGTGGAAATTGGCACCCGGCTAAAGACAGAGGAAGATCTTGTCAGTTTGTGAGTGTGAAACCCGCACCTCGCACCGTATGCTTCTTGGGCGGGAAGCCGAGAATGTTTATGTGTTCTTCCATGCTCTGCTGTGGAATGATAGCTGTAAAATGCACAGAGCATGCTTCAGAGCGTGGGTATATGGGTTATATAATGCAATCATTATTTGAATGTTACAGTATATTGCCCCGCCGGACATAAAGCATGGTTCATTTTGAAAGAAGGTCACACAGAGGTTCGAGGCTCTACTTTCTGCTAGCTCGGACTCCCGGTTGAGAGATTGGTATGAAATTGATGGGGACAAAAAACATAATACAGAACTGAGGTAAGATGGCATCCATATTTTTAAAGGTTTATTGCGCTCCCAGTTGGAGAAATGGGACTCTTTTGTATGAAAGATCTACCGTCCCTCTCTCTCGCTCCTTCTTTTATTTGTTAGTAACACCTCCAATCGTCGGCACTTATATCACCTAATTGTGTTGCAAGTGCCGTAAAACTATTACAAAAACAAATGAAAATGGATTACTGGCGTCTGTATATAT